CAGGACCCCTGCTCTGGAGAGAATCTGGTGGGATGCTGGAGGGCTGTGGCAAGGAGCAGACCCTGTTGTGTGGGGTACCAACCCCAGCCCAGAGAGCCAGCATTGATACAGGAATGCATTTTATTCATCTCTTTTGCTCCTTCTTCTTCTATTCGAAGCTGACATGGGGTGAAGTGAAGCTGAAGGGAGCCTTGAAAAGGCCAGGTCATTGACGGAAAGGAAAAAGGGCTTGGCAGATGGTGAAGAGCTTTCATGAGCAGCATGGGTTGCGGCCGGCTCCAGGGAACAGAATTGTTCCCCTGCTCGGGCTGTGTGTCTGTCTCTCTGATTATTTTGTGTATTTCATCTCTGCTGTCTGTCTCGCCCTTAATCTGGGCTCCTCTGTGCCAACAAAATGCTTAGCTCGCTCCATTGTCCGAGAGACTAATTTGCACTGTAAATCTGATGCTTATCTTACATGACAGCTTACTGTGGGGTTTATTGCAGTCCTGAAGACAAACTAACCGGGAATAGCTAGAAAGCTTTTGACACATCATCTGGAGTATAGATGAATATGACCTATTTCAGCATGCTGCCAGGTTAGGATGTGGCCCCTTGGGGTTGGGGTCACAAGGGATTTCTCTTTCTCCTTTCAGATCTATTCAACCCGAGTTTGTTTGGGTTTGTGGTTTGTTTGGGGTTTTTTTTACAGTACAGCCTCTGTTCTGTGTTGGAGCTGTTGGAATGCTTCTGGAACAGCCTCCTACCCTCCTAGGGCCAGGTCCTCCATCCCTCCTCCCTGCTACCTGTGGAGTTTTAAGGACCACGAGAGTGGCTGCAGACCAGGCGCAGGCAGCGTGCGAGCATTGGTGCTGCAGTGTGCTGCAGCTTCATTGTCTCTGCCTAGCTTAATCAGAAAGAACCTTTGTCCTTGTCTTTCTTCATTAGTATTTCCTGACACTTTCTCCAATATGTTTAAACTTTTTTTTTGCTGGCAGAACAACATCCCCCCTCAATCTTGTCTGCAGTGGCTGCCTTCTCTCTGGTCCCTGAGCTATCTACCTGCAGGCATTCACATATCATCAAAGAGATTATCACATGAGTGTTGTTCAGATAGCTGGGCAGCTAAATCCTCCTACAGAGGGGTTCCAAGTTGTTTCAGACGCAGGTTGACCTGGGGAGAGCCAGGAAGATTATTGCTGCTTTGATACAGCTCTTGGTTCTGCAGCTGAGCACACCAGTTTAATGCCCAGAGCTTCTGTGTTACAGTCCTTTGGGACCCAAAGGATCCTGCTTGCCCAGACAGGGGAGCAGGAACACAAGACCTCTGCCATCCTCAGAGGATGGTGTTCGTTTGGAGGACCAGTCTGATTTTTGCCGAGTTGAGTCCTGCTTTACAGTCACATGGATTTCTGGGCCCCTCTGTCCTTCCCACCCTCGGTCTGAAGACAAAACATACAAGTGGCTGTGCTGGATGAGCTGGGTGCAGCAGTTGAGGGGCTGGCAAATGAACTGCACATGGAGCCAAGGGGTCTCGGTAGCACTGAAAGAGAGGAGAAAAAAAAACACTTAGAGAAACTGTTGAAGAAGAGGCAAGCAATATGTTGTATACTGGGAAGAATTGTAGCTGCATAGACTACACCAGAAACTCAGTACTGAGCCCTCTCAAACTCCATTTTGCTGCCCAGATGATCAGGCAGATGTGTAACCTAAGGCTTGTTCCAAGTCATCAGAGCTGGTGAACACCAGCCTCCTTTGCAGGCACTGTCCTGAGACCTGCCCAAGGGAGAGCACTGTACAGCCTGGGAGAAGTGCAAGGGAAAACATACAACTCCAAGAAGACTCCAAAATCTCGAGAATTTTAGAAGAATCCAGGACAAAAATACGTAGGAAAGGTGCCTAATTCAGGTTCATACCTAATCTAGGTTAGGCTACTGCACACAGCCTCCCCCGAAGAAGCCGTTTTGTCTTCCCTGGCTAGAAATGGAGACAGAGGAATCAATTCACCTTAAATTTCCATGTTAAGTGCTTGGAAGTTAGCAATTTGAATCTGAAGACATCTTAATTTGTTTCCTAAGAGGCCTGGAAAATGCCCTTTCCCACAGAAGATATGGTGCAATCTGAGAGTCCCTGGTGTGAGTAGTTGGCCTCCCGTCCGCCCCAGTACATGTACCACAGGCAGCAGCTCTGATCCATTTGGCAAGGTCAGGTTGTCCCTTCAGCCATGTGCGTCCAGCACCCCAGGGCAGATGGTTCTTCCAAGGATAAAATCTATGCCCTGCTGCTGCTGAGTGTTTTCTGTCAGACTTCTGGTTGTTTTCTTTAAAAAAAGAAAAAAAAAAAAAGAAAAAAGAAAAAAAAGAAAGAAAAAAGCTTGTTTTCCAGCAGCACTTAGAGACCCTACTGTGTTGCATGACACAGAGACAACAGGAAGATGGTCTCTGCTCTGAAGGATTCACAGGATAGCTTGGCAGAAGTACACTGAATAGCAAATGTGGTAAAGACATGGCGTGAGACAAGTTAGTAAAAGGAAGATGTTTGCTCAGACTGACTGGGTCTGACATCTCCATCAACCAGGGCGTGCGAAGGCCCCGCGACTTGATGCGCGGTTGGACCAGCCTCCCGGCACTCCCAAGGTCTTTGCTTGCTGGCAAAGGAAATCCACTGCCTACATCAGCATTGGCTCTAATCTGCCTGGAAATGGAAGTGGGTGGAGACATCAAAGAGGGCTTTCCAGGTGGAGTTTTCTCCTGCCTGGGATATTGTTAATAGTCAAGGAAAAAAGCTCTGGATGAGCTGGATAAACAAGGAAGGCTTTCTTCTCGGGGAACATTAGAGAACGGAGGTGGGGGGAGCTGAGAGTGCGGTGGAAGGGCTGGGGTCTCTGCAGCTCTCACCTACCTGCTGTTACCTGCGTTAGGTTAGTGGTGCATCTGTGTGCACAGCCCAGTCTGGGTGGGCACCTGAACTGGGATGCTGCAGCCTGGGTGATGTCTCTGTCTTTAGCCCAAGGGACAGATGCCAGGGATGTCCCCGTGCCCGTGCTGGGGGGATGGGTGCGCACAGGGCTGCACAGAGCAGACTGGCTCCTTCCTCAGGGTGCTGGGGGAGGCTCTGCCGTGCTCTGCCCTTGAGACACTGCCTGGTGCCAACACAGCCCCTGCCCCAGGCTCTCTGCAGGGGTGTGACTGCACCATGCTTTGATGCAGGCTTTCAGAAAGCCACTTCCATCCCTGTCATCCCTTCCATCCCCTTCCTGCTTAAACTTGAGAAGGAACTTCTTTACAGTGAGGGTGACAGAGCACTGGAACAGGCTGCCCAGGGAGGTTGTGGAGTCTCCTACTCTGGAGACATTCAAAACCCACCTGGACACCTTCCTGTGTGATCTCATTTAGGTTCCTGCTCTGGCAGGGGGATTGGACTGGATGATCTTTTGAGGTCCCTTCCAAACCCTGACATTCTGTGATTTCCCCTCTTCTCAGGAAAGGGCTGCGCATTTAGCAGGGGGCTAAAGCCCTCGTGCTGCATCAGTGCTGTGCAACCTCTGTGCTGAGTAGGGAATGGGTTAGAAGGGCTGCTGCTGCTCCCGGGATTCTGTATTCCCAGCTGACACTTGCTTTTTGTCCTGCCAGGGTTGCTTGATTGTATTTTTGCAATTATTAGTAACTCATCTCGTGTACGGAACTGACAGTGAATCAGAAGTCAAGAGTATCCAAAATATCTCACCCCCCACCCCTGAAGAGAGCAGCTCCTTGTTTGCTGCCTGTTAGCTGACGCAGAGGGAGAGGGGTTGTAGGGAGCTGTCAGGTTTGCATCCCGTGAGCAGCAGTTCTGAGTCAAGCCTTTCCCAAGAAGTGGCGAGCTGTGAACGGTACGTCTGCAGCGCTGTGGGCAGGTGCGATGGCAGCTTAGGTGGGTACATCATGCTGGCCTTGATCCAGTTGGCACAGGTAAAGCAGTAATGACACGGTGTAGCAACTTAAGCGCTGTCTTAACACTATTAAAGACGTAGCTGAGATCTCCAGAGGGCTCGTACAACCCGAGGTGACGTCTGTGTCACTGTGTCTTTACAGCAGTTTGCTATCTGTGCTAGCTCAATTACAGTTCTCACAGCTAGGTCTGTGCTGTGCCTCGGTCCCTCACCTGACATTAGCGCAGACCTGCCTCCAAACAGATGCTTCTGAGGACCCACAGGCCACACAGACGTCAGCTGTTGATGTCTGCAGTTCGTGCCTCCGATGCTGGCATTAGTCTCTGTGATTTACTGGCGTTAGCCAACACGCAGGGGAGGGGAATTACATCTCCTGTTAGTGGGATTTGCTCTGCGTTGCAGCACTGAGGCTTGAGAGTTTTGGGGCTGTAACTGAGCCACCCTCTTCCCTTCTCTGTCATGTGGGCAATTCTGCTCCTGCTCTCTACTCTCCCAAAGTCCTCTCCTGCCATGCTGTAGGCCTGGGATCATCCTGGTTCCTCCTTCAGGCACCAAGAGGTCTGGGGCTGCAAGGCACTGCGCATACAGGAGCGTGTTCCTGGGCTGGAACATGTCATATGAGGAGCAGCTGAGGGAACTGGGGTTGTTTAGTTTGGAGAAGAGGAGGCTGTGGGGAGACCTTATCACTGCCTACAACTACCTGAAAGGAAGGTGTAGAGAGGTGGGGGTCGGTCTCTTCTCCCAAGTAGCAAGTGACAGGACAAGAGGAAATGGCCTCAAGTTGCACCAAGGGCAGCTGAGATTGGATGTGAGGAAGAATTTATTTGCTGAAAGGGTTCTCAGGCATTGGAAGGGGTTGCCCAGGGCAGTGGTGGAGTCCCCATCCCTGGAGGGATTGAAGAGTCGTGTAGACACAGTGCTGAGGGACATGGGTTAGTCGGGGACTTGTCAGTGTGAGGTTAGTGATTGGACTCCGTGATCTTAAAGGTCTTTTCCCATCTAGGCAATTCTGTGATTCTGTGGAAGAGGTGCCCAGGGAGAAGGTCTTTGGTGGACTCATCTGACTTTCCCTTCCTCTCTCTCTCTGCAGATGCCAGCAAGGACCATCCGCAGCAGCAGGCAGGGGTGATCTGGAGAGTGACGGGCGGCCTGTTCAGCATCCCCCGGGGAGCCGTGGGAGCCACGTTGGGAGGAGTTGCCTGGGTGGGCAGCAAGAGCCTGGAGCTCACCAAAACAGCTGTGACCAGCGTCCCCGCTGCTGGCGTCGGACTGGTGAAGGGCAGCGTGTCGGCGGTGACCGGCGGCGTCGGAGCTGTGGGCAGCGCAGTCGCCAGCAAAGTCCCTTTCACTGCAAAGAAGAAGGACAAGGCTGACTAATCCTCGTCGCAGCTCCCTTCCCAAAGATCAACCTGCCCATACTCTCCCCCTACACAGCACCTCTTTGAGTTGGAACCAGTCGCTTCAGGGAGGGTCAAGCACCCAAGCAGACTCTGGCTGCAGCCTGCACAGCACCGCCTGCCTGGCTCAGGGCTCACAGAGCCGCTGTCAATGCCTTTCACTCCCATCACTGACTGGGAACCATCTCTACTCCGAGGGCTTTAAAGGCGTCCTGGTCTCTGTCTTGCAGTTTCTTTCCTCCCTGCTTCCTCTTGTAAGCACAGAGAGGTGGGAGAGGGTGTCAGGCTCCATCTGCCTGGAGGTCAGGGGAGTGGCAGGGGAGAGGGAAGAACTATGCCTGGCTTGAAGTGTGGGTTGTTTAGTCGAATGCAACTTCAGCTGGGGAGTCAGCCTCTGAAACACCCCTTCCCTTGGCTCTGGGAGGTGTGTTTGTGGCATCTGCTTGGGGGAGAACTGTAGAAGAAAGTCCCATTGACACAAAAGAGAGATACTGTGAAGAGGGGGAAGCCTCCCTCCTGCCCTGCACCTCTTACCTTTTCTTTGCAGGGCCCATCCCACAAGCTGCTCCCAATCACTTACTCCCTGGCTGAATTTGCACCCTTCAGAGAAGGAACCCTCAAGCTGAGCAGCGCAGCTCTGGAGATGATGCCACACAAGAGCATCACATGTCCTGGACCACCAGCTTCTGCTCAGATTTTCTAGGTGAGAGGCAGGAGGATGAAAGCTGCTGTATGTTCCCATTCCCAGCTGATGGTGGCATCTGCCAGGCCTGTGTGATACTGCACCGCAGATGGTGATGCTCCAGAGAGGGACAAACCGAGCCCTTGGGTTTGACCCTTGAAGTCTTGGCAATGTGTCCCATCTCCAACAGGGGCATTTTGACTCAAGGCCACACTCTCACTCCACAGATGCCACTAGTAACTATGAGCAAGTGTGTTCCCAAATGCCACCCAAATTCTGCAGGGTGGGAGGGGAGGCTCTCCCTGTAACCCCAGGAGCAGTGGCCTGGCTGTGAGCAGGTTGCACCACATTGGAGAACACATCTCCAAGGCCTGCTCCAGTGGCAGCCAGCTTGCACGGGGCACCAGCAACTCCTGCTCCCACACACTGCTCTTGGAGCTCCAGCCCTGCTCCTCTAAATGACCATGTTGCACTAAATACCCCACCCACACTCGTCGTGCCGCAGAAACCCAGGCACCTGCGTTCATCTGGGAGTCACAACCATCTTCAGCCTGGCCCGTGAGGCTCAAGGGGCCACGTGGCATCACACACACACAGACACACACTCACTCCAAGGTCCCCTCTAATTCTCAGAATGAGGAAAGCCCCAGGCTCCACCATTAACTCTGTTGCTCCTGGTTTGGGCAGGTGATTAGCCGAGGTCGTTAGGTGTTGGATGCATAGGCAAGTGGAGCTGTGCTTGTGCTGTGTTTTAGAAATATGCATGTGTGTTAGCGTGTGTGTGTGTCAGTCCCCAGGCTCCTCTTCAGCCAGGTAAACAAAACTGCCACTTCCGTGGAGGAGTTTACATAGTCATCTTCAGCACTTCCACCGTATAGTTTTTCTATAGGGTCCTGGTCAAAATAAAAATCAAGTTTTAGAGGATGTTTTCCCCTCTGTTGCCCAAGAGCGTAGTTCATTGAAACCAAAGGAATGTGAAAAATCCCCTTTCTCCCCTCTCAGCAGTTTGTTTACTCTCTGCCCTATCTTTTGGATATTGAAGCCAGCCTCCTTGATCTTCATTTCCCGTCGGAGGTCGTTGCGCTTCCTGGCTGCTCTCTTGTGCTTACACTCAGACATCAGGGAACATTTAAGTACAACCCTCCCCCCCCCAGTCCAGCCACCATTTTTGCTGAATGTTCTTGGGCTTGTGCAGCAGGTTTGATTCTGACCTTTATTAAATCCATGTTTTGGGCCTGAGTTAAGTTGCTGTGCTAGTCCTGCTGGTGTTGGTCTCTCTCCATACCCTTCGCTGGGTAGTCCCTGCTATTTGCAGTGGCAAGAAGTTGCTGATCTCCACAGTATGTTACCCTTGATAGCATGAGAGTGGTTTAACCTACATCTTTGTTTCTTGAAGAGGAAACAGCATTTGGTATGTGTGTGCATTTCCTCTGTGTCTTTTGTTCTTGTGAAGGCCAAGTTGACCCAGACGTGTTGGTTTTGTCTCTGAAGTCAGCGGCTTCACAGAAAGATCAGCCCTTGATGTGTGCCTGCACTTTGCTGGGATGCTTGTGGCAGCTGGCAAGGCCAGAAGTCATCTTGTCTGTTCTTCCTTTGTCTCAAACGCCCTGCGAAGCAGGAGGGCAGTTTGCACTGCGTGGATCTCTGCTCGCTGCTCTCCCTGAGCGCGTCTCGTTTCTTCTTCCAGATCCCAGACTGCTCCTGAAGTCAGCTCTAACCCCAGAGCTACAAGCTGCTTGTGCGTAACTAGCTGTGCTGTCACCGACCCTTAGAAAGACAGAGTTTCCTACCAATTGGGACAGAAGACCTTAGTCTTCTTCTTAAGTGCCTCTCCCAGGCCTTAGACAGGAGAAGATGATATCTAAGGGGCTCTACTTCACCATTCACCCCTGGGCAGGTGATGGGAAGCTCATCATGCTTTTGGCTAACCAGTGTCCCACACAGGCTCTTGCTGTGGGAGGGCAAGACATCCTTCCCAAGCCATTGTCTGCAGGCACCGTGCATGCAGAGCAGGTGTGGAAAATGGGCTAAAGGGACATTAAGGAAGGTCCTGAGGGTTTCCCATCTTTTTATTTCTGCTCTTCTGTGCATTCTTGAAGTAGATGGAGTAAAGCTTTGCATTTGGCTGGGACTGCCATTTCCTTGAGGCACGGTTTGGAGAAGGGGAGAAGAGGTGTGAGGGGAACTCACAGTCTGAATCACTGTTCTTACAGCCCAGCAAAGGGAGAACTCATGGACCACACAGAGCAAAAGAGAGCAAATTAACAGGTAGGGCTACAAGATTAAATCTGCTCCCAAACCAGGGCTTCACAGGACTTAATGGGCATTCAGGAACACACAACTGTGCAGGACTCAGAGGCCTCTGGAAAGCATGCCTCTGCTAGCCTGCTGGGTTCATCCAGGTGACCTAGCCCCAGGCTGCTTTTCTGGGCGCTCTCAGTGCCAGAGTAGAAGGAAAACAGAGTCAGTCTTCCCAAAGAGCAAAGACACCTCCTGACAGCTTTGGTTTCAGGACAGTAAGACCTGGATCAGATGGGGAAGCTGTTGGCAGCTGACAGATGCCCCATCTTTCCTCCTCCGCCTCTACAGAGGCTCCAGCCAGCTCAGAGTCCACCCGGGCCACTGGTGCAGCCCTTCTCCCACCACCCCTTCATGGTAAGAGGAACAAAAACTACATTGTGTGTAAATCCCATTGGTACTAGGTGGGGGGTTCACACAAAATAGAGGGGTGTGGCACCAAGGTGGAAGGAAGGACTGAAGGGAGTTGGTACAAGGAAGATGATCAGTTTTCAGGTGACACTGAGAAAGTGAGGAGGGACTGGTGACAGGAGCAGTCGAGGAGCCAGGGAGCAAGAAAAGGGGGAGCGTGGAGGGAGTTTGTTCCTTAGGACATGTTCTGAATCAGGGGATGAGCACGATGGAGTTTGTCGTAGGGAAGAGCATGGAAAGAGAAGTGGACAGATGTGGGTTTTGGTGTGTGGTGGTGGTCCATGTCTGGCTGGTGCCCTGCTTCCATACTAGTGATGGGTTTCCATACTAGGGTTTTCCATTGAGCTGGATCAGCGTGCCCAACGCATGGTCCAAGCGCCAGATCAGCTCCCTCCTTACCACCCTCCCGCTTCCCAGATCTCCCCCAGGCTTCTATCATTATCTCCCCATGGTGGAGGTGGGATGTGGCCCTACACCCAGCCCTGTGCCCCACATGGCTGGACATTCCCCATGCCCAAGGAACACGGCCTGGCTGAGAGGAGAGCCCATGGGCACATCCTCTTCTCCCTTTTCCCTCTGCTAATCCTATTATCCTTCACTTTCTTTTTCATCCCTCCCGCAGTTTTCTATCTTGTCCCTGGACAGAGCTCTCCAAAGCTCTCACCGAGACCTTCATTAAACATCCACACTCATATTGGCTGGGAGAGAAGTGTATGTCTTCCACCTCTCTCTGTCCCCTTGTGTTTTGCGTATGGAAAATCTTAACCCACTTCTCGTCCTCTTGAGTTCCCTCCTTGGCTCTTGTCCCTGTGGGTGGATCATTTCTCTGTCTCCATTGCAAAGTCATCCTTGTAAAAACAACAGTGTGAGTGGGAACGTGGAGATGGTTAGAGAGAGCCGCAGAGCTGCTGGGACAGATGGTGGGGCCTGGCTCTGCTTCTCCAGGAGCTGAGGAGCCCTTTGGCAACCCAAAAACTGTCACTGTGGCCACATGGTCCCGTGCACAAGGCTGGGCTCCGGAGAACTCTTTTGTTCTTTATCATTTCATTGTCTGTAATTGGTTTCCTACTGAATTTGTTTGCTTGGTTTGTTTTGCAGTGTGTTTCTGGGAATATTCTGCATCTCTGTATTTTAATTACAGTAAAATTTGAGGATAAAAACCTTGGTTACGCTGGCTCTTGTTTCCAGTGGGGGGGAAACGAGGAGAGGAAGCGCAGTTGAAGGAAGATGAGAGAGATTCCTTGGGAAATCAGATCTCTCCCTAAGGGCTCTACATGAGGCACCAAGCAGGGCTGAACCTCTGTCCCTGCTTAAACTAGGACATGGCTTTCCACCACGATTCAAAAGCCATTTTGCTGCAGACGCATTTCCTGATTAGAATGGTAAGAAGAGTTTGGATAAGACTTCTAAACTCAATTTCTTGTGTTGGTTTAAAGACCATTGTGTATGAGGACTTTCAGGCCGGGGACAGCTGGCCTAGACCCAAAGTTGGGATTTTGGCAGCCGAAGAGGGGAAGTTTTCTCTCTGCAGCAGTGGTTTCTTCATGCAGGTTTGTTACAACCACTTTTCCCAGCTGAGGAAGCGAGGGAAAGCCTGGCTCCCCGCAGCAGCCTGCTCTTTCTGCAGGACAAGCTGGTTGGACATCCCTCTCCAGAGCTATGGGGGAACCCCATGGGGCAGCCTGACCCTCTGCGTTTGCTCGCTGGCTGTCAGGCAGC